AAGGTGGTGTTTTGGTGTTTCAGGGTGTGATGTTTTTGCTTATCGAGGATTTTGATCTTCAAGGATTTTAGAGAGAATCAATAATATGGCTTCAATGTGTATTTCCTCTCACTTCAACTCGAAGGAGACGAATCATATTTATATGGCTCAACGTATGGTTTTTGTGGCGCGTCAAAAAATCGCGAGCTTTTAAACTTAATGTTGCCCAGATAAATAGGTCGCTCGAGCGAGGGACCAGCGTGACTCGAGCGACGTCCACTTAGCTTGAGCGACCTGGTGGCGAGGCTCTTGCGACAGTGGTTCTGCAATCGTGGCTCGAGCGAGATCATGGCGTGGCTCTAGCGAAATCTCGCGCCGTTTGCAACTTCGAGGCATCCATCACAACCCTAGACCTAGCCTTCAACACTTTGATTATTAGCAACTCAAGTCCCTGAACTATTGGACATTTGACACTTTGGTCCTTGACCTTACAATTATGACATTTTAATCCTTGACTTTACAATTATTACATTTTGGTCCTTGGTCACAGATTTGCCAATTACATATTTCCTAACAATAATGAATGCACTAACTATGGATATGTTGCTGAAAATAGATCAATTTTATATCACCCTTCGATTTGAATTAGCAAAAGCAATCTTTCCTTGTATAATATGGATTTTTACTAAATGAAAGAACTTTTCAAACTAATTGATAGTTATTCCCTAGTTGCACCCAAAATGTGTTATAATTTACCAAATCACGTGTTTATATTTTTGGAATATCACATGTAGACTTTTTTTGGGGGGAGGAGGGGAGAATCACTCGGTGCGAGGCCTCCCTTGTGAGGTCAGGGCATAGTTACCAACGAAAGGAGAATCCACAAATGAAATTCTTGCTATGTTAAATATAATGTTATGTTCTGCTTAATGTTTCACACTCGGCACTCGCATATCACATTTTGTAATATTACGTTTAACAGGCCAACTAAGGGTGAATCCAGCATCAATGTTGAACTAGGGGCGGAGGTTGACTTTGACCATTGGCCGTCGACAATCAACGATTATAAAATCCTGCTCCGACCGACGGGGCAGTCGTTTTATTAAAATTTGAATAATATTAACAATTATTCAATATATATGTAAATGTACTAAAACATAAAAATTATATACATATGAAAATATAGTTCAATACAACCCAAAATAAGGTTGTTTCTTATGTGAACAGGAACTGCAACTTCAAAATCTTCTTATTTCATTCCAAAGTTCTACAGTTAGTCTCCAGATTTTTCCAATCCTAAAAGCATTAGATGAGGAAATCATTCCATTTATGTTCTTCAAGTTTCACAGCAAAGGCAAATCTAAGAATGTCTTGAACAAAACCAGAGCAAATTAGAACTGAGAAAGAGGATTGATTATTCTTTTATTTCTCAAACTTCCAATTGGAGTTCCTCCTAGCCCGATTCTTTTCCATCAGCACATCTGCGTAGCAAAATCAATTTTAACATCTAGAATGAATAATCAAATCGTGTTTACTTCATTGAGAGAGAGAGAGAGAGAGAGTTTACCTTGAGGATTGCAAATAGGGTGTTCTTCAAAGAGAGAAAGAGACAACTTTTTAAGCGCCAATCCAATGTCAATCAAAATAATCCCAGAGGAAGGATCAGAAACAATTATATCCTTCACTGGTAACCATAAAAAAAAAAGCTCTTCTTGAGACAGACCCTCCACTCCAGTGAGTCTACCATAGCTTAGATTAGCCCTCACAACCCAAAATATAGTTCAATACAATCCAAAATTAACAACCAAAAATATATTTGATTAATGAAAAAGTTGATAACTTTTAGAAAAAAAATCTGTCAAACAAGCCATCATATAATTTTGTTAAGACTTCAACCCAGC